CAATGTTTCGTTGACTACTCGTGGCTTTCAGCATGTTTCCACTACCTAAACTTGGCACATAAGGCCTGCAAAGATCTAGTCCCCACCAGCCTACCAGCATCATTTCTGGTTTTACAGTGGAACTGTGCTCAATCACCTGAATTTTACTTCACAATGGATCATTTTTTGTGTGTATCTCCATATCTTTGCATGTGTTTTTTCCCCCCATAATACTTAGTCCTAAGAATTCTGAAAACACCCAGTCTTTGCAAGTGGCATCTCCTTCACAGCTGAAATCCACCCTAACCATGAGAAAGTGTATTTTACTAAGTTGGTTGGTAACTCTCTCCACACAAATAGAAACACCATAACCCACTCTGCACACTTACTTGTAAAATAAAATGAGTAAAAGTACATCTGATAGCATAATTGGCACCGAATGGAAGCTAAATAATTAGCAGCCTTTACCACATAACACACTGTATTAACTATGTGTCTTGCCACTAGGCCAGCTCTCTCAACTTGAACACTATTGACATTTCAGGTCAGATAATTCTTTGCTGCAGGAGGCTGTCCTGTGCATTGCAGAACATTGAGCAGTACCCACGGCTTTTATCCATGGCTTTTATCCACTAGATACCAGTGCACCCCTCCACTTGTAATAACCTAAATGTCTCCAAACACAACTAAAATGTTCCCTTAATGGGCAAGGTCATCCCTGGTAGAGAATCACTGCACTACGCCATAAGCACCTCAAGGGCAGAAACTAATTATTACTCAATTATTATATCTCCAAGTATCTTAACACAAAGCCAACACATAGTAGATGTTCAATAAATGTCTATCAATAAGACACCCCACTTCTGCCATGCAGCACCATAGATTAATTTTACCTATTTTTGAAAAGTATGTAAATGTATGTTATTTTTATAGCCTCCTTCATTCAGTGTTCTGCTGTGAGTCATCCATGCTGCTGCTTGCTGCAGGAGTTCATTCATCTGTACTCCTGTATATACTTTTCTGGATATTCTATTGATCTGACATTTGGGTTGTTTCTGGTTTGTAGCTAATCTGACGAGTGTTGTCGTGAATAGTCTTTTATATGGTTCTGGTTACAAGTCAGGAGAGCAGTTTTTGAAGAAGGAGAAAGAGGAGTGATTGGGAAGGACACAATGAGGGTTCTTGGGGCACCACTAACATTCTTTCTGGAGTGGTGGTTACACATGAGTGTCCACTTTGTCATAATTCATTGAATACTCCACTTATGATCTGTGAACATATAATTCTGTTTCATACTTCATTTGAAGTTTATTTATATTACTAAGAACAAAACAGTTGTGTAAATAGAGGGGGAAAAAGGGCCAGGGGTTCTGACAAATATCCTATATTGTCAATATACATGTAAAAAAATAAATGTCTGCCTTCATTTGTATCAAAGAAAAGCATATTACAACAAAAAATGCATTTTTATACTTTTTGTCAATAATACTCTGGGTTGCTGAGATGCAAGGGAAAATGTCTGCTATGAGTAAAGATGTGAAAGGGCACAATTTCCTCAAAATCTTTAAAATGTGTATTATGATTACATATCAACTATATCTCAATAAAGCATGGAAAATATGGCATGTTCAAAAGCTTATATTATAAAGTATAAAACAGAAAAAAACATGTACAACCACATGTGCACATGAGCAAAAGAATCTATATCTAAGGAAATTCTTCATATAAGTTCTCATAGTGGCGAAAAACTGTAAGCAAATTTTCAATAGAGAATAGCTAGATACAGTATATCCATTCAGTAGAATGCATGCAGTCATATTTAATGACCTGAAAAATGTTCATAACTTATTACGTTAAAAAAAACAAATTACAAAACACAATAGTGACATATTTGTAAGGAGAGATATAAATACGCACAGAAACAAAATGTCAAGAGTAGGAGTTAAAATGTTGACTTTTGTTCTCTCCAAGTAGTGTTTATCTTTATTTTTGATTTTATTTTTGAAAGGTCTATGTGCTTCCTAAGCTTTCTGCAGAAACATGTTTAATAATTTTCAGAATTAAGCTTTTTCATGTAAATGAGTGTCAGTGAATGCAAAAGAAAACATGAGCAAAGTATCACTAACAGTATCGGAGACAGTAGCAGCTCTTAGTGTCTCAGGGTACATTTTTTCCCCATAGTGTGCCTCAAATGATTATTGAGTTTTATACCCATGTTTGGGTTTTATAAGCCCCACGCTGTATGGACCAAGAAGCCAACCTTAGTCAACACTTCATGGAGTGAGTGTTCCTTTGGAAGAAAGGTATTTCTTTACAGTGGAATCTTAGCCTTGTGATTAGGAAACAGATGAGCAAGTTTCACTCATAGGATATTTTAAAGCTACTTTTGCTTGAAGTATAATCTTCTCTACTGTCTAGCAATAATCTCTTAAAACAAAAAATGGGTATTATTTCAAATTCTAAGGTTGTGACAGCTTTTCCGGTTTATCTGTCTCATCCTCTGAAGAGAATACAAGTAATAATGCACTATATGCAAAGCATCTACGAAAAAAAGCAAATATCACTAACAAACCACGATCATCCAAAGTCATATACTGAGACTTCAGAAGTAATTTTCCACTTTCACTTTGCTTCACAGGAGCCTTGTTCTAGGAAGCACTTCCTGCTTAGACCAGATAAGTAATGATTTTGAGGTCAGTAAGTTGCAACATTGATTGCATTCACTTACAATAAGCATAAGCATAGCAAACCCATTTTCACATGTAGATTCTCTTTCCAAGGCTGACTTACAGTCACTGCTGTCCTCTCCATTTCCGAGAAAAGGGATCAACTTAGCCAAAATGTGTATGTTAACCCCTGCCTCAGAGCACCTCTCTAAGGATGACCCTGTTGATATGCTGTGAGGTGTGTCTGAATCATCATCCATTCCACTTTGCCCAGGACAGTCCTGGTTTACACCCAATGTGCCCGCATAGTTATTAATAGCAGCCTCTTTCAATTCCCAATGTCTCAGGTGGAATAAATACCTTATACAGTCACCCTACTGTCTGTACACAGGGTATAGAACGCTAGGCAAAGATCTTTGAATAAATGCCTGGAGCCATCTACACTCTTGTCTCATCTTCCTTGCGCACTGATTAGTCTGGAATAAAAACCACAATATTCCTGGACTTAAATCCCACCTCCCCTTGCCATAGGTGGTCTAAAGCAATCTGAACAGGAATCCACTTCAAGATGGACCCATCCTCCTTTGGGAGTTCAAAAGCCATGAAAGACACATTACTAGGTAGCCCAAGGCATACACCTTAAGGTACGTATTTCAAAAAATCCGTTAATCTGTTGATACTTTGGAGGAGTTGTGTCTCTCTAGTTGTTAATCCAACAATTGCATGAAATGAAGTACATACAAATTTCCTCTAACTCTATTTATTTCTATCATTTATTTGTGCTAATGATAAAATTATTCACCCAGGCACCTTAACTAGAAACCTTAGGATCAAAGTTGATTCTCTCTCCACAAGTCTCATTGATTCTGTTTTCAAAGTCTCTGGGATTCATTACCCACAAATCTTTCATCAGAACATGATTTCCCACCTGCAGGTGTTACCGGAGCCTTCCTCTACTTTCTATCCTTCTCCAGCTCATCTCCTGAACTTCTGCCAAGAATTATCTTCATTAAAGCCTCTGCATGCTCAAAGCCCTCAGATAATACCCAGACTTCTTAACATGGCACTCAAGACCTTTATGATTTGCACTCAAGCCTCCCTTTTCATTCTCAGTTCCAACCACACCTCACAGTAAGCACATACTACCTCAATGGTCCTCCTCCAGGAATGGTACTGCTCCCCTGGGAGGTGTTTAGAAATGTTTAGGGACATTTTTTCTTGTCAACAGAGATTTGGGGGAAACAAAGAATATTTAACAATCAGTAATGAAGAACATTAAAATGTCCAGCAATGTCAGACAAGTTGCCTTGCCCAGAGTACCCCCAAGTGAGACTTCTGGTTTCCCCAATATATTATTTTTACAAACATGTGGTTCCTTCTCTCTAGAATCTATTTAATCTCCCTCTACTAGTCATGCTTCCTTCCAAAATAACACTGTTCTTGGATGATAAAATTCAAACTCTCCTTATCTCAGGATCTCAGCTGATTTAATAGTCGTGCACACAGTGCGTTAATTGAAGGTAATTGTCACATCCACAACACACTGATTGCCTGCTGATCTAGCACTTAGTGTATTGAAATATGATTAAACTTCCTATCCATCTGTCATTTCACTCCACGTTCCCCTTTTCCTTATCCCTCCTATCCCCTAAAATTTGAGCTCCTTTAAAAAAAGGGATGTTCTTCTGGGATCTCATTCATTTTTTAAAACTCTAATTTCTATTGTTTACCTGGAAGTTGAGAGTCATTCTGTGATTTTTGGATTAAAAGATGAAAAATTGTACTTGCATTCCAATGTATAGATTGCCATTCCTTAATAACCTTTTTTGTGGTTGTGAAACTCAGGATACTCTGAAGTAAACTAAATAGTTTAGTTACATCTTTTATCAGTAATGGTGCTTTACAGAACTAAAATGTATGTATTAAATTACAGATTAGATTAATTCAGGTATTATAAATTCAAATGTAAGAGGAAAAAGAAGTTGCAGGCATTATTGGAAACTGAAGAGGATGTTCCTAGTATAAAGGTATTTAAAATTCCTTTTTCTTTTTTTGGTAAGTGCTGAGCAAATATGCCCTACAAATATCTGCCTCACATGCTTGTGTTTGAGATACATGTTACTTAAAAAAAAATACTGAGATAATCTTAAAAAAAAGTGTGTGCACAATATACTTCTATACAAAAGATAAAGCAGAAGTGTTCTTACCCCACCCCACTCCTTTTTTTGTAAGTTGAAGTTTAAACTCTTTCTGTAGCATATTAAAAATACACTTTTTTCAAGTCCAAAATTTCAACTTAACTCCCCCTAAGTTGCATCAACAGTAAAAGGGGTTGGACAAAAGTCAACTGCTCACGTGCACATCTGTTCATGTCTGGGGCTCGGTGTCCGTAGTACCCGGATGGGCAGGAATGCAGGCACTCTCCATACTGGCGCATGCCTTCTCTTCGAAGAAAGAAGAATAACTTCTGTTGACATCGGCTGCACCCGTTGTCTTTTGAGCAAGACAAGCAACCCTTGCAAATGGGATTTGATACATAACTAGCTGTAAAAGAAAAAAACAAACCAAAAAAACCCATGTTTAAATATGAATACAACTGGACTTCTGGTCGGTGCAAAAAGCTGAGAAGACACATGTCTCTTGTCTTTTTACCTTAATCACATAGAAACATATGAATGTAAAACAAAACAACCTTTAATTAATCATTAATACACAACCAAACTTAGAAACAAAGAGGAAATTTAGAGGCAGAGTTGAGGCTCGTGGAGATGTTAGACCAGATAGAAGCAGACTTCATGGCAGGGTCTTGAATCCAGACCAAGACATACGCACATAGACTCACTTTGCTTTACACCTAAAACTAACACATTATTATAGATCAATGATACCTCAAAATAAAAAAGAAAGAAAGGCAAT